CTGCTGAAAAGTCTCTTCTCATCTTTCTGACAGACCCTTTCTCATGATCCTGCCTCTTCCAGCCATCCACACCAGGACCAGCACCGTTGCTCTGCCAGCACCTCCTGGGCATCCCCGTTGGGCTCAGGAGGAGCTGCCCAAGGGGCCCTTTTGCCCCTTGTCCCAAGTCCCTGTTGCAGAGAGGATTTTCCATCTCCTGGAGTCTGTGATTTATCTGACTGTATCTTGTTTCTGGGTTCTCAGGTGATTATTTTGCCTTCACATGTCTCCCAGGGGACTTAACCTGGGCTCAGCTGGTTCAGCCAGGTCCTCCTCCAGAGCCATTTCCCCACCCAGCTCTGATCCTGCTGCTTCCCAGGGAGCCAGGAGGAGCTGCTGGCTCAGTAAAACCTGAGAGGATCCTTGCAGCTGGGGCTGTCCTTCTTCTCTTTTCTGGCTGTCTCCTCTGAAACACGAGTCTTGCTCAATCTTCTCTGAGTGGCCACTTGTGGCATTAGTCTCCTTGAATGTGAACCAAGACAGGCAGCTTCCCCAGGCCCTTTGAGGATGTTCCCTTCTCCAGAGCAGCAAGTGAGGCTCACGTTTGCAAGCAGTTTCCTGCAGCAGAGGGGGCTGGGACCTGTGGGTCCCTCCCACCAGCCAGAAGGTCTTTGCATGAAGCTCAGAGCTGCAGAATTCAGAAGCACTTGCTGGCAAGGGGGTCTGGAGCTTGCAGCCGTTCCTTCAGCAGCAGCCAACCACACGTGCACGTGTCTCACCTGAGTTACAAGCTGCCCAGGGCTCCAAGTGATGCTTGTAAACCCTGTGAGCCCCAAAATGATGGACTCTGGGGGGTTGATGCTTGGGTCCTGGCAGGGCAGGAGTGTGTTCACTCCCTGAGTCCCAAGAGGAGGGAGCAGGTCCAGGGAGGCAGCGCTGGAGGAGCTGGCAAATCCTGTAACTTCAGGCACTCAGGTAGATTATAAATACTGGGGCAGCTTGTAAACTCTCTGAGCCCTGAAATGAGTGGCTCTGGTGAGTATTAAACTGCAGCTTTTCCATCCAGGAGCCTTGCAGGGGAAGGTTGAAGTCTTGAATCCCAGAGAGGCGCTGATGGTGCAGGACAGTGAAGAGCTGTGGGCTGCCAGGGTTTTATAGCTCCTCTCTGTGTGAGTGGTTCAGCTCCTGGAAGAGCTCAGCTCCATGGGGTTTACAAACTCCAGAGCCCACAGAGCTGGGCAGGTCCCTCCTCCATGGATCTTGTCATCCCAACGTGGACCTTGCATCCTGACAGGCCAGATCTCAGGTGGATCAGGTTGGGGGAAGCAGAGTGACCATGGCTGGGACAAAAGGGTGGGTGAATTGAGAGGTCAAGGAGCTTGGGGAGACTTTTCAGATTGATTTAGGCTCTAAACAGAAGAGCCTGAAAAACAGTCAGATAGAAAGGCAAACTTTATGCCACAAAAATGCATCTTCAGTTGCATGGGGTGGCTTTAATGCTCACACGGTTCTAGTTTTACATGTTGGTGCCTTTGATAGCAAACATTTTAATAGACAGAGAACATATGGGAAAAATCATACCAGCTCAGATGATAGATATCATTTAGTCTGGGCAGGAGAGTCTGTTTGAGAGGGACATGGAAATTCTCATTCCAGAGGGACTATAGGACAGCCCCTGAGGTTGGGGAGAAGGGAAAGGAATCAAGCAGCACAGCTTGGAAATCTCCAGCCACCCAGGACAGGAGCCTGCAGGTTACCTGGACCCTCATGAACATTGCTGTTCACTAACACCCTAATTATTAACAGGCAATTTTGTGCTCCTGTGAAGTGAACACTGTGGGAGTAACACTTCAGACCCTGTCTGACTTTTACCAGCCTCAGCAAAGAGCAAGGAGGGAGGGTGTGGAAATGGTGCTGGCCATAAGGAAGCCAGGAGCTGCTGGGCAGCAGTTATGGTGAGGAGATGGAGGTTTGTGGATCCTGAGCCTCCAGGCAGGGCTGTGGCATTGCCCCTCCTCTGCCCACTGGCCTTCCTGTGTCTCTGGGCTGCTGTCCTGGCTCCCTGCAGCCAGGCAGGGTGTTGGGGTGGCTGGGGAGACCCTACCATGGAACAGAACAGCAGCAGGGGACATCTCTGTCCCCAGGCTTCCCCTGGCACCCAGCCCTTACCCCTTGGTTAGATGAGAGCTGACCCAGTGCAGCTCTAAATGCATCACCCTGGGCTTCCATGGATCCCTCTTTGACCTCAAAGGAGAGGGAAACATGGAGATACTTGTCCTGGTTTTGTTCCAGCCAGGAGACAGGCTGAGAGAGTTGGGCTTGGTCAGCCTGGAGAAGAGAAGGCTCCAGGGAGACCTTCTTGGGGGCTGTCAGAAAGCTGGGGACAGACTTTTGAGCAGGACCTGTTGGGACAGGACAAGGGGGGATGGTTTGGAACTCAAAGAGGGAGATTGAGACTAGACGTAAGGCTGAAATTTTGGATGCTGAGGGTGGTGATCCCCTGGCCCAGGCTGCCCAGAGAGGTGGTCACTGCCCCATCCCTGGAACCATCCCAGGGGAGGTTGGCCGGGGCTCTGAGCACCCTGCTCTAGCTGCAGATGTCCCTGCTCCCTGCAGGGGGTTGGACTGGGTGACCTTGGAAGGTCCCTCCCACCCAAACCTTCTGACTCTATGAAAACACGTGCCACCCTATGCCTCAGGCCAGCAGCAAGCGAAGGGTGTGAGGAACAGCTCCCTGCTAACCTGCTTTGGCAGGAGAATCACTTCTGTCCTGCTCATTGGGGTCCCCAGGAGGGCTGAAGTGGAGCTGTGCTTGCAGCAGCCCTCTTGGAGCTGGGTACGCTTTTACCCCGGGCCGGCTGCCCCCGGGG